CATTATACTCCTGCTATGAGTGAAACCATCCGGTATTTTTCTTTCTCTTAAATATTTTTTTTTAAAGTAGCTATTTGGACTTGAGATGTTTGTAACTGCTTGGGCACTTCTTGTCATATTAACTAAAAATCATGAGCCTATGTAGATTGAAAAAACAAACAAACAACTGATTCAACCTTTAAAAATAAAAAAAATAAACTTTTACCAACATAAAAGTATGGGGGAAAAAACTTATGACAGAGAGGAGGAACATTCTCTAAAGGCCTAGTATCTAACATACTAAAGGTACTAAAGGGTACTGAAACTTGTTCATATATTCCATAACCCACTTTTAGGGGGTACGAAGTCACTTTCTAATTAAAACAAATTTAAACAAGATTCTCCTGTTTCAATGTGAGATCACTAGCAAATATTTAGTTGTTGCAAAGATGATCTCTTAGGATAGATATTTAAAAGTGTAAACAAAAGCCCTTCCTGGTGGTACCACAGGTGAAAACACAACACCCTGAAGTTACTGTAGCCACTGCAGCCATGAGTTCGATCCCTGCCAGGGAGGTGACTCACATGGCACAGCAGACCTCTCCCAACCCACCAGCTGCTCCCCTCAGCAGTGCATTTCAGTAGATCTGCCTGTTCTACTCCCCATTCTGTCTCTGGTGACTCCTCTCACCTCCCACACCTCTGGCCTGTACCCCAGTTCTGTATATATAAATAAATCTTTAAAAAATAAATAAAAGCATAAACAAGTACTATCACTGTATAAAGTGTCCCTTTCCCCCCTATAAACCACCCACCTCACTACCACCTACCTTTACTTGTGTCTGCCCTGACACCTGCTCGGAAAAGGAAGCTTTCAGGGCGTTGGGGCTGGTTTCTCTGGGCGGTAGCAGGAAAAGAATATGCAGGAGAATGATGAACTAAATCAGCATGGAACATCAAAACAAAATAAAGGAGGTGGAAAAGAAATTAAATAGAACCACAGATATACATCATAAAAGTTCAATAAATAACACAAAAAACAATCTTGGCAATGATGTAAATGCAATTGCTTATTAACATAAAATCTGGTACAGAAAAGTTAGATCTGAAAGCAGAATAGCCCTTTGTATTTAATTTTTTGCATGTTACTTTTGATAATTAATAAAGAAAGAATCAATATTAATATATTGAATACAGTCTCTTATAGACCTATAGCTCTGCTAGCTCATATTTAGGATGAGCAGAAAGGGTGAGCAGTCAATTGTTGAATTAAAAAGTGGAAAATTTGCAGACAGTTCTCAATTTTGTGTTTGATTTTCCGCCTCAAGAAAAGAAGCCAACCAAAGCTATCTAAGCAGTAATTTATCAGGAAAACTTTGGCAAACCATTATAACCTCATGGTTTTAAATGCACCTTTGAGTTTATTACCTGTTTCTGATGTAGGTGAACTTGATACAGCATTAGATCTGTCATTATTCTGCAGAGAAACAGAGATGAAATATATGAATTATTATTATTCAAGAAGAGGTACTTTCCACATTTATGGTAACTTTAGGATTATAAAAGATAAAAACCACGTAGCTCTTCTTCAAAATAAAATCTATACAGGGGGAAAGGGAACAGGATCAAAACAGGTGTTGGAAGAGCACAAGGGACTATGCTGATGATACATTGGTGAATTAGGGGTGGGAATTCCACAGGGGTTACAACCGAGATGAAAAAGCATACATTGTATAAAAATGAAGAATGATGTGGGGGGAAAAATATAAATATATATATATACACATACACATATAAGCAAACAAAATAAAGTCTAGAAGAATTTGTGTATGAATTAATTTTATGTTTTTAAAGAACAGAGTTTTTATTTAGTACTACAGAATTCAAGGTATATATAAAGCATTCTCTAAAGATAGTTCCATTATCAACAGGCCTTTCCTAATTCCTACTGAAATTCATATCTAAGACAGAAAATTTTGAGAGAATAAAATTTTACTTTATAATAGCATTTTCCTGTCATAGTTGTGAAAGTATTTTACCCCCTTATAGAGAATAAAATTTAATTGTGTTGACAAAATGATGTAGGCTTCTATATTTCAATTAGGAAATAAGGATTTTAATGGTGATAGTTATTTTTCCAAGTTCAAGTGTTTAAATGCAAATCTCAAGTCATTAGCCAAAGGAGAGAGAGGTAGATAAGTAGTATATAGTTTACTTGGAAAAAGGAAATACAGTTAAGAAGGAGCAGAATCAAGAAAAGCTAGAATAACATCAACAATTTTTCAGGCCTTGAAATCTAGTTATGTATACTCAGTAATTTAAATATAACTTTATATGATAACTAAGACAGTTTTGAACTAATAGAATGATACACACAAACACACACATATCCCTTGCTCCCATGTTTTTTTTCTCCCTTTTGGTTTCATTATTTTCAGAATATCACTGTAGATGGGTCAAATGAAATTTATGATGATGGGTAACTTTAATTGCTAAAACAACAATGGAGCCATGCTGTTGAGAAAATTTTGGCTGATCTAGAAGACAAACTTGTGGAAATGGTTCCTTGGCTTGATATTCTTAGGTTATGAATCAAGAATTAAAAATAAACAACAGCAACCTGTAAAAGAAATGAATAGGCAAAGACAACTGAGGCAAAAGTTGAGTATCTTTATAAGGAAATAGACTGTACTTATGCTCAAGGAATGTGAGATACGAAGAAAACAAGTCAAGGAGAAAGACTTATTTAAGGATCAATGGAGGAAATAGAAAAATTTAGAGGTAGAAGAAAAATATTTAAAAACCTATTTGTAGGAATTACAGTAGGAGTTTAAACATGTTAAAGAATAAATGGTAACAGGAAACTCTATTAAATGACTTGAAGTAAAACAAATTCCACTGAATGACAGCAAATATTCTCTAGGTCCAGAAGCATATCATCAAAGATAATATAGAATTGAGTATAATGAAAAATAAAGCCACCATAGAGAGGACTTACAAAATGTTGGCTTTTAAAATGTACGTTTATTGAAAATATAAATCTAAGCGACTTGTATTCTAGGATACTAAAATAATTAGTCTGACTCACTCTGAAGGCATTAACCTGTGAGATAGGACTGTTGGAGAAGAGGAGGGCAAAAGAGAATTAAGATATAATCTTCTGACATAAACTCAACTTTAAGCCTGGTTAAGGAGCAAAAGAAAGAAAAGCATGCTTAAATACAATGTTTACCTGCTATAAAGTAATAGGGATACCAAAAAATGAAGAACAGATCTTCCTAAACTAATTATTTTATAGTGAAGCAGATATGATAACTGACAAAAGGTTCGATTTACCACATAGTTCTTGGAACACTCAGATTTGTCCTTTGTAAACTGTGATTCTCTGGGAGAGAATAAACCCCCAACACTCTAAAGTAATGAGTGTAATGAATTGAGTTCTCTCCTATATATCTAGAATGGAACTAGTTATATGCCTCCTTGGAGAACTTAAAATAGTTCCCTCACATAATTTTCTGTATTGTCATTCAAATAACACCTGGCTGAGAAAGGTTAGCAAGGGGATTAATACAGAAGAAAACTATAGATAAAGCTTTATTTATTTTATAAGAGACAAAGTTTATCAGACTTACAGATGTTATAAAGATGGAAGGACATGATGCATGAATCTGAAAGTATTATGATAAATCAGAGAAGTAAAAATATTTAAAAAACAAAATTAAGTTTTAGGAAAATAAAAGATACAAGATGTGGAAATTTATTATTTACTTAGGAGTATAACTATCTGAGTGGTATAGTGGCTAATAAGCAAAATAAATACCTAAATGGAAAAAGCCAACTGAGTTAGGCATGTGAAAATCCTTGTTTCATGCTAAATACCAGACAGGCTCTAATAAAGGCTACATTTCTAGTTGGGGGCTGTGAAGCTAAAAAGAAGACAGAGAACTTAGGCAAGTTCATAATGACTGACAGGCCAGGAAAAGCATATAAAAGGTTGAGAGTTTATTTAGGGAGCAGACAGAGGTAGTGTCAGTACTATTTTCAAATGTGAAGATTTTTTCATAAAGACTCTAAATAACTAGAAAATCTTCACATGGGAAAGAAAAGAAGAAACAAATGTAAACCGGAAGACAGATAAGCAGACAAACCTTGACAGTGAGGTTTATTAACACCAGTGTAGTGTGAACTCAGATATGACAGACAGCAGCCAAGGTATACTGGCACTGTAAGCCATGTTAAGAAACTCAGACTTTATTCTACCACTTACAGCCACTGAAGAGTAGTTTTGAAGGCCCAGAAGCCTTCAAAAAATTAAATACTTCAGGTTCTTTAGTTAGTCTTGTGTTTTATGATCTTCAGAGCAACTATTCAACTGTGTTGTGAAGTCAAAAGCCATTTATTACATAAACATATGGGAGTGGCTGGTTGCCAATAAAATTATTTTCAGGTAATGTGGGACCACAAAGGGACCACAGTTTGCTGACCCCTACTGTAGAGTGTTTTGGCAGTAAGAGTTGTGGGGAATGGGAATCAAATTATAGTATATGCATATTAGACAACAGAGTTAAATTAATAATTTACAATCATAAAAACCTCTGATAAAAAAATTTGAACATTTCAAACAGACTCTGAATATAAAGAATTAACACAGACTTTATGACTATTTCTAAAACTTTTAAACTTTCAAGTGAAATTAATGTAGACTCATTGCTTGATAAGCTGAGATATATTTCACACAGTGCTAGATTCCAGATTGTGGCTACTCAACTCCATTGGAAAATTTAGGACCTCCTTTAAAAAAATCCCTCCCCTAGTTCCTGGTAAATTACAGGAGATTACCTTCAGAGGAAGGAAGGCAGAAGACTGAGACAGCATAGAAGCACAGCCCACTTGATTCAACCCTGTCAGTGACTAAAATGCAAAAGAGAAAGACAAGAAACAGAAGGCAGTATTTTTGTTAACAATTTGTCAGTGAGTCAGGCAGGCCGGCAGGCAGGCAGGCAGGGAGGGTGGGCAGGAGGCAGGGTAGAAAGGCAGGAAGGCATCTGGTCAGTGAAATTAGAAGAGGAGAGGTAACTGACAAACTTTCAAAAGGCTTATTACTACCATCCTGATAAAGGCAGAAAAGAGACTATCTGGGGGAAAAAACCCAAAATTTATAAAGCAATACAATTCAAAATACTTTAATACCTCATATCATGTCAATCAGAAAGTGAAAGGCATGATTTGTTAATTATTTTGTGTAGAAATGAAACTCAGAACATCAGTATCTTTTAACAAACAGTCCTAGTAATGAATGAGTCCCAGGACAGTCTTATGACAGATGAAACTAATCCAGTCAAAGAGTTAATTTTAACTGAGCAGAATGAGAATAAGAACAACTTTTTAAAATGTAAATCCAAATTAGTTTATTATAATAATATGTTTCTGACGTGAGAAGACATAAGGACTCTGCAACATACCTTAAGAATAAACTAGCACTTTTTTCTGCCTTTGTGGAAGTCCAAATGACCTCTAAGAAGGTAAGTGGAATTTTCTTTTACTTTGAATCCTTTTCACTAACCTACATAAACTAGTTGATATATGGTAGAGATGTAAATAGAGACAAAAAATGCTAGAATCTATTGTGCTGAACTATAGGTAAGAGCTGTTCAATATACGACAATATTTTCATTTGGTAAGGAGAAGAAATCAAAGTGGCTTTCAAAAAGGTATACAATAAAATTGTACCTTAAATTAAAATAATGATAAAGATTTAAAGATATTAAAGCCTTTATAAGTTAAATAATTATAAAAATTTAAACTGAGATTACAAATACCTGAATAGTGAAATAAATAAAAACATGTGGGAGTTTAGAGAATGCTGTTAGATGGCTGGCACAATAAGCTGCATTCTTAAATGATAGTAAAGTAGCAATGTACCAAAGAAAAAGAATGTGACAACATACACTGTACATGTTTCATCTATTTAGATTCTGGCCTACCTTAAAAATTTGAATATAGGGCCCTCCCTAGTGGCACAACAGGTTAAAGCACAGCACTGCAAGCTAGCCACAGCTGCTTCAGTGCGAGTTCAATCCCTAGCCTCAGAAGTGACCACATGGTGTGGCAGACCTCTCCTGACCTGCCCACTGCTGCCCTCAGTAGTGTATTTCAGTAGATCAGCTTGCTCTGCTCGACTCTGTCTCTGGTGAATCGTCTTACCACCCCTAACCTCTGGTCTGTACCCCACTTCTGTATGCATAAATGCATCTTTAAAAAAAACTGAATATACTGTTATTACTGCTAATCTAGTATTAGTGAATGTTTGTGTTATATGAATGTTATAAAAAAGGTGAAGTCATTATAATTTGCAAAAAAAGGAGAGTAGTGAAGAGAACGTAAAATGAACCTCCAGAATTTTTAGTACCCAGAAATGGGATATTGATGCAGGTAGGAGACAGATGAAAGCACATATGCCAGAAGGGCAGCTTTACGAGAATTCAGTGTAACTGGTATTAAATATTACAAATATTTGTTTCAAGCCATATATTTCAAGGTCTTTACATCAAATTTGACATTCATTTTAATATAGCATCAGACCTTTTCATTACAAAACAATTTACTGAGGAATTATAAGGTGCATAGTATTTATGTGACCATTCAGGAAATATTTATTAAATACCCAATATATCCCAGGAACATAGATAGGGGCTGAATACACATATGTAAATGAAAGACAATCCCTGTGCCCATGATGCTTACAGTTTAGCAGTCTAATAAGGGAGAAATATAAAACAATAACCACCCATTTTAAGTACTATGAAGAAAAAATACTAACAGCAGAGACATAAGTTTGATTTTGGGGTAAGGGATTATAGATGAAACACATTAAAGATGACAGATGAGTAGTAATTAACCTAAGCATATACGGAAGGAAGGAGAGTCAAGCAGCAGGCATAGCATGTGCCAAGGACCAGAGGTAGGAAAGGGCTTGCTCTATCTGAAAAGCTGAAAAATGTCTTGGTATAATATGAACCCAGAGATGACATACAGCAGCCAAAGTATATAGAACATGGCTTTCAGGCCATGTTAAGAAGTTTAGATTTTATTCTACCATACAAAGCCACTGAAGAGTAGTTTTGGGAAGCTCAGATATATGATTTAAAATATGACTCTTTGGACACTATTTGGCATATAAACCACGTGAGATGTGGTCATTGTTTAGAAAGGCCATCTAACTTAGGTCAAATAACTATGTGTATGTATGTATGCTTTTTGAAAATATTTGAAGGTCATCTCAAATTGAATGCTAAAGGGATTTTGCTATCATTTCTCCAGATTTCACTTCTTCCTTGACAAAAATAATGTGGGTACTCAGGTGATTTACTATATATGTAATTAAATCTCATCTTTAGTTTTCTAAATTATCTTCAATTATAATGGCAGGTTATTATAGCATCATTTTTAATGCTTTTATCAAGTCGGCTAGATTCTAGATTTAAACACAACCTTGTACATGCTAGCGATGTGACCCTGGACAAGTCACATTCAAGATATTCTGTGCCTCAGGAGTCATTTGTAAAATGGTGGTAAGTTTAATCTTAACTATTAAGGTTGCTGCAAGGAGTGAATGAGATAATTCTGGTTAAGTTTCTAAATCATCAAAGGCTCTCAATGTTTTTCTGCATTTATTTAAATTATTATTTGCTTCTCATGTTAATTAACTTCCACTGAAATTTCAGGAGCCACTGGTTGTATTTATCAGTAAGACTGCCCAGTTAAAATATGCTGTGTCCATCTCCAAGGAAATATGGGTTGCACAATACACAGAAATTTTAACAGACAATGGAAGTTTATATAATAGGAATGTCATGCTGAAATACATAGTTCATGCAGTATTTGCAATGATGGACTTGCATATGACAGGGATTGCTATAGACAGCTTATTTTTTATGGAGAGTTTTCAATGCTACTGTGAAAAAACATAAAACATGATGGGGAATTACATAAATAATTAGAATTCTTTTATAAGACTGATAAAAAATACTTTCAATAAAGTTTTCTTGCTATTTTCATCTTCAGTTGCTGAAATGGGCAACAAAAGTAAACCAAAGTTAAAAATTATTAGGGTGTAGCATTCAAAGTTAATGTTCTCCTGAGTTCAAAATATGGGAATACAGAGATAATCTTGAGATGTAGGGTTTTTTTTTAAGTCAGGGATTTTCACTAGTGTAAAACAGATAAAATTGGATGCCAAATATAGTTGTATAATTAGCATCATAGTGGGAAGGAATCCACTTAACACAGAAATGACTCAAGTCAAATTAATATTAATAAAGTAAGTGCATCTGGGATTAGATATGACATTTTAAAAATGAATATAATACATCTGCTTCTCCCAACATACATAAAATGTCAAAATAGTTCTCAATGCAAATGTTTTTCTTTTGGCAAGACAAAGATAGTGAATCCTAACTGTAGAACACTGGAATACAGGGGGTAAATCATAAATAGCAATGTAGGAAAAAGTTGCAGCTATTTGTATTTTGTAATGTTTATCATGTTTTATGGTATTTAGCAAATTTCACAATGTAAAGTATAAAAGCTATTTTTTAATCTTTTGATCCAGCATGTAATACTCCATTTTGGGCAAGGCTCTTACCACTAACAAGGCACTATCATCAGTGTGCTGAGACCTTCTGGATGGAAAGTGACACTGGAGTAAAGAAAAACGAAGCAATGTCAAAAACAAACTATGCATACACACAATGTATTCTGCAAATACACATATAAACAGAAAGACATGTTAAGACATACTTGGGAAGATTGACATAAGACCATAGTCATAATCATTTGGAATTCATGTACTCTGGTAGCTAATATCTTGATCCTAAAATGGCTTAACAACTTCAAATATGATCCTACTGCCTAAAAACTTTCTAAATCAAAGAGGGAAAAGGGAATAAATTATTCTCTGCTCACAGATGAGAAAGCTGAAGTGAGTAATAATATAAAGAATCTGTGGTCATTTGGACAAATTAAAAGCAATACATCCCAAACCATGATTTCTAGTCTAGGCATCTCTTTATTACCTTTCTTACACAAAATGTAAGGATACAATTGGAAATTTTAAAAATATACATGAGAAGTTATACATTTCTCCTGAGAAGTTTTGGTTTTCAGATAATGATTTACTCAAGAATGACCATGAAGAAGGGACTATTGGATTAAAAAAGGTGTGTACTGGCCCTCCCTGGTGGCACAGCGGGTTAAAGCACAGCACTGAGAAACTAAAGCCACTTCCACATGAGTTCAATTCCCGCCTGCCCCGGAGGTGACCACATAGTGCAGCAGACCTCTCCTGACCCTCCTGCTGCTCCCCTCAGCAGTGTACTTCGTAGATCTGCCTGTTCTGCTCCCCACTCTGTCTCTGGTGAAGGCTCTCGCCGCCCCTGAGCCTCTGGCCTGTACCCAGTTCTGTATGAACAAATAAATAAATCTTTTTTAAAAAGGTGTGTACTGACTTGTATCAAATTTGGTTGTCAAAGATTTGACAGAATTATCACCAGGTGAAAAAGACTGAAAATGCTTGATTGAATCTTTCAAGGAGTATAGCAATATTCTTCAAATAATTAAAAAATAGTCATTGTATGTCTGACAATATTTTAAGAACCCCTTTGCATTAGACAGTTAAAGTTTCCAGTAAATCTTATCATTCCAGAAACACATTCTTTAAAAACATTAGTTCAAAATTAATGCTTGTCAAGACCCATGTGCCGATTCTCAAATAACTTATTTTATAAAAAGCAAAGTCAAAATTCACATGGAATCATGCCTTTATGCATTTGTTAAGGAAGTAATGACCATAAATAGAAAAAATGAGAAAGCAAAGATAAAGGAAAATGGCTAATGAGAAAGCCAAGTTCAATAAACACATTTATTTAGTATGCCTTATTTTGACAGATCAAAGCAGGACCTTAAAGTTTTAAAAGGTTTAACCATTAATTTTAACTTGTAATGAACATGTACTATCTAATTTAAAGACCAATGTGTACAAAGTACAATTGAAACATGAACACTTAGGGAATGAGCGCTAAAGCTGAAACAGCTTTTATGTTTAGTAACAACAACATTCACTCATGTCAAATACAGCTCCCAGGACTATCTCATTACACAGTATGCTTTGAAAATGGATAGATGGTACATCTGGTGAGGGTAGAAGAGAGACACAAATAATCTCCAGACGAATGTGTACAGAATTAAAAAGCCTACCTATGAATTCTGATAAACTCTCTGGACTGTTTCTTTTCCCTGTAAGAAGAATTTTGTGAGGGGGAAAAAAATACAATAGCAACATTCTGATCACTGGAAACACATGATAATCACATGCAAAATATTTTATTTTCATTGTAATAAAAAATACTTCCAAAGAAAAGGTGATTATAAGTACACTTACCTCACCATCTAAATGTGGTTGTTGTTTTTGTGGACTTTGTGATGCTTTCTGCTGTATGTCCGCCACCCCCCAAAAAAGGGAAGTTAATTAGAATCTTGAACAATGGAAATGATAAATTCTACTTCCTAAAATAACTACTCACATCAATTTTTGTATCTTTTGTATATAGTACGATTTTAAACTTATTGGTTATAAGATACTCCCCTTTCCCTTAATTTACAATTTAAATGAGGGAAAACAATAGAGTGACAGAATATTTTCATGTCTATAAGCATCTATAAATAGAAATTTGAAAAAGTTGTATGTACACATACGTAAATACATTCAGTCAGATTTGTGATCTCTACTGTGTAGTCTCTATGAAATTATTCTCTCTTTCTCTAAGGGTTTCAAGTATCACTCTGATGATAAAAACTTTACCTTTCTCCTATCAATCAAATTTGGGTTTGTATTTTCAAATGCCATGGAAACTCTCAACTTGGAAACTTTATGGTCACCTCAAGTTCCACATTGCCAAAATATACAAATTCCTAGGCTAACTGGCTTTCCCCCAAATTTGCTCATTTTTGATAATATATCAAATAATAATAACACCTGTGCTTATTATTTTAACAATGTGTTCCCCTGCATAGTATTTCAAGTAATTCTTACTTTGGGCTGAAAACAAGTATCACAAATATACTCATTTAAAGATAAAGAAATTGGGCCCTCCCTGCTGGCGCAGCGGGTTAAAGCACAGCACTGAGAATCTAAAGCCGCTTCTGCATAAGTTCGATTCCCGCCTGGCCGGGAGGTGACCACATGGCGTGGCAGACCTCTCCTGACCCGCCTGCTGCTCCCCTCAGCAGTGTACTTCAACAATCTGCCTGTTCTGTTCCCCACTCTGTCTCTGGTGAAGACTCTCACCGCCCCTGAGCCTCTGGCCTGTACCCCAGCTCTGTATGTACAAATAAATAAATCTTTAAAAAAAAAATAAATAAAGATAAAGAAATTGAGGATAAAAAAGATTATGTGATACGTGCAAGGTCACAAATTTGGTAAGTAGCATAGCCGAGATTTGCACCTACATCTTCTGACTCTAAATTCTATTATTTTCACAATGCTAGACTAGCATTGAAAGCATTCTTTTAGCTTCAAAATCTTACTTAGGGACCTTTTTGTCCTACTCTTCAATGATTTATTCAACATCTACTACATATTCATGCACAAGGCATAATGCTTCTTTTGGAATCTCTTCTATAGCTAATTTATAAAATCCAGTGTGGTGGTAGGGGGCATAGCACTCACCCTATTAAGAAATTAGGCACATATATAATAATTATTAAACAGCTAATATTGAATAGTTAAATATTACACATGAAGCAATTAAAGACACATACTTTTCAAAGTTAAGCAAATACTAAGTAGGAAAACTAGTCTGACCTGGAGCTCTTTCTACGTGTTAATATTGTCTCTCTTTAGATGCCTCAAAAATCACCTAGTTTTATGCCTTTATTGTGCCCTCTAGTGTAAATGTTGCACTTACTTTCTACTTCATTTCCCTCTTCTTTTCCTTTTCTTTCTAACATATTCCCTGATGAGTAAATTAGCTTTTTATTTTTGTCTCAGGTTTTTCCCTACTTTAGAATTTATTATCTTGTGCTTAACAGATCAAGATTCAGCGCTAAACTGATATTTCATTAATATGATTAGCTCTTCCCAGTTCCTGATCTCTACATAAGGCAAGCTAAATGAGTTCATACATGTAAAAATTCATAGAACAGTATTGAGACCACAGTATTGTGGCTACTTAGGCAGCTATTATTTACTGAGAGTCAGTACAACATTGTGGTCACAGAGTAGGGATTGGAGTCAGCCTTTCTGGAGTTGAATTCCTGCTCTGTCACTTACTACCTGAGTATTTAACCTAAGGCAAAGTGTTATTTTCTTATGAGCATTAAAGCTCACATATCATGGACCTGACACATTTGAAAAAAATAAGAGAGTTTATCATGTAGACATCTAGTACTTAAAGAAGATGGTATTTAATTTATGAAACACAAGAAAGAGTCACTCAGGGAACAAGAGAGAGTTATTCATTCATAAAACCATTCAGTTAACAAATACTATTATAGGCTAGACCCCAATAGGGATATAGAGCAGTGATAAATAAGACAGACATGGTACCTGTCTTCATGCTGTTTACAGATAATATTGGAGAGATATTAAACAAATAAAAATACAAATAGTTATGAAGAAAACATATCAAGGAAACGATAGAACAAAAAAGACTTAAGTAGTACAGGCAAAAAAATCTACACCAGATTTTGATGCAACTCCAGAGGCTGAAAATATTAAAACAGAAATATCAAAAGGAGTTGATAATTGAGAATGTGAGGTGAGAAGGAAAAGAATCAAAGATGACATTAAAGTACTAAGCCTGTGAGTATTGCAAAAAGAAATAAGCACTTACTTCTAAGGAACTTAAGGGATATCCTTAAATGAATTCAAAGGACTCACCTTGACAAAGTCCAAGACAGCATCTCTCTGAATCTGCTTGGTCCTTATTTTCTCCTCTTCATAATGCAGAGCGGCAAGTTGTGCCTCTCTCCGAGTACGCTCTACTAATTGTTCTTTTCTCCGAAATTCCAAGTCTGTATGTGATAACTAAAACAAAAATAAGTTTTGTACATGCAAATGCAGATTAGGATCAACTTATCAATAGTCCTTGTTAACTGAGGTAACTACTGCTAACTCAAACAATTTTTAACTTTGAAGTCACCTTGCATTTCTTCAAATTTGTTTTTGCTAATCTACCCCTCTTGAATATGTTCTTAGATGTATTCTAAGGACCACTATGTGGGTAAAGATTTTCTAGTTAATGTCTAAAAACACCATCACATATATTGAGTGCATGTTATAGTAACCAAATGTCTGAGGAGACAGGTAAGTCTGCAGATACCTGGGAATTAATGGTCATTTTAGTATTATAATAGATGAAAACTAACTTAGATAAAAAATAAATAAAAGCTAAAACGACAAAAAAATTACCTGATTGTGAGCTGGTGTTAATGACACTAGAGAAGAAGATGGTTCAACTGGAACCCTAATCCAAAAAAGAAAAGGGAAGGGAAAAGTCTTTGATGAAACAGATATTAAAAGAGAAGTGAGATTTTATTGTTAATATAGCTTTCTATTAATCAATAGACAAACTGACTAATCAGCACTGAAAGATGAACTGTATTTTGTAAACTTGATCCCATATCATTAAATTAAAGCACAGGAACACCTGATGTCTCCAACTTACATTTCATATGATATCATTTATCAAGATGTTGCTAAAACTGCCTGTCAGCTGGTATTGACAATACAGTTATTTGAGATCACTTTACAAACGGTATCGTTTTTTTATAGCAGACACAACTAGCCTCTTCTTTACTCTCATGATTCAAACATGATACATGTAAATAGAGATCTTTTTTTTTAAAGATTTTAATTTATTTATGCATACAGAACTGCTGTACAGGCCAGAGGTGCAGGGGTGGTGAAAGGATTCACCAGAGACAGAGCGGGAAGCAGAACAGGTCCAGTGACAAAGTACACTGCTGAGGGGAACAGCGGGTGGGTGAGGAGAGGTCTACCATGCTATGTGGATCACCTCCAGGGCAGGCGGGGATCGGGATCGAATTCATGGGGAAGTGGCTTTAGCTTAGTGCTGTGCTTTAATCCGCTGCACCAACAGGGAGGGCCCAGAGATCTTTTTTTAAAAACAGAATTTATCAACAGAAGTCTGGATTACCACAGGAACTGCTAACTATTCTTGTAAAGCACTCCTACTGGTATTTTCAACTCCTACTGATTGAAACTTTAAAACATAGTACTACTCCCTCCTTAGTGTCATCAGTGATACTTACTTTTTTCCTGAAGTAGATTTTTAGCTTTTCAAGTCTCACTTACTGATCTATATTCAAAACTAACAATGTTGAGAGCTAACTTTTTGACAGTTAAGACTTTTAACTTTTTTTTAAGTTAAAACTGTCTTTTAACTTTTCAACAGTTAAATTTTTTTGTCAGTCTGTCAGGTTGATTTAAATGTGTTATTAAGGAAATAAAAGCAAAGCTGCCAGTAGCTTCTGATTACCATCCAATAGTGACACAAGTCCTGCTACTAACATCTACTGTCTCTTTGGCAAACAATTACCAAAATACAACACATTTTTAAATGTCTCCTGGGGAGCAGTGCTACTCCGCATTTAAAAATATTGGTGTAGGCCCTCCCTGGTGGCGCAGCAGGTTAAAGCACAGCACTGAGAAGCTAAAGCCACTTCCACATGAGTTTTGATTCCTGCCTGCCCCGGAGGTGACCCATGGTGTGGCAGACCTCTCCTGACCCGCCCGCTGCTCCCCTCAGCAGTGTACTTCGTAGATCTGCCTGTTCTGCTCCCCACTCTGTCTCTGGTGAA